AATTACATCTGTTAGGGTTCCATTATTAATAGGAGCCTCTTTTAAATTTAATACTCAATAAACTGTAATAGGTTAATTAAAAAAATAATACTTTGTTCTTTCTGTGTAAGTTTTATTTTTCAACATCTGTTTTATTGACCAGATGAGCTTTCAAGCCATTTGGGAAGTAGGTGAGTGTCGATGACACATTTTACATATTAGCATTAAATGACTAGATAGAGATTTGAATTTCCACCTGACTTTTCATTTTAAATTGTCTTTTCAAATATAAAGACCACACAGGCATTTAAGAGCATCCTAGTTTCTTTGTAGTGACATGATTACCCTTTGAACACTTTATGAAAGACAGAATATTTATAGGAGATTCTGTCTTTTTTAAGTAGCTTTGTGAGATGTGGCCTTGAACTGTATTTGGAATCATCTGTTTTCTTGGTACTTCTTCAATGGCTTAGCAATGCATGCTTGTGTGTGCAGGTGTGGCTGTGCCTGCATGTCTGTGTGCATGTATGGGGGAGAAGGGCAGCAGCACATGTGTTTAAGTCTTGCTTTGAGCAGGATTGGCCATGTGATCTCCTTAGAGCTCAGGGTTCTGTCCTCACTATTTATTTTCTGTCACGTGCTACAATCACAGATGGTATCAGGAGGTCTGAGTTTTAACCCCATTTGGTTTGTAATTTGAGGAAATTCCCATAATCTTTTTTTAATGGACTGATTTTTCAGTACTTTCAGTTTATAGAAAAAATGTGCAGGAAGTGCTCAGAGTTCCTGTTTAAGCTGCACTGTGCACATAATCTTTTTCAGCCTCCGGTTTTTTATATGAAAAATAAAGATGCTTTACTGTATTTTTTTTAAGTTCTAGCTTAGACATAAAATTTTCTTCAAAGAGTTGTGTAGCATGCTAAAATTAATAAATGAGCTGCATCCAAGTTCACATTACGTCTTGAACATAATGCCCTCTATTTTCTTGCCTTAGTTTGATCCTCATGCTCAGAATAAAACCTGCTTGGGGTGGCGTACTTAAAGTAACCAGCATTGTTATCCACAAACAGTGAAAGAAATAAAAATTAATTTATATCTAGAAAGAAAAAAGTACAGCTGTTGTGTATTTGTAGAAGATATCGGGATTAAGGTCTAGACAAAGTAGAACACTAAAATTCTGAATTGAAGATTTCATTTTAGTGCCATAGAGTGGAATCCAGTAGTTGGGGATTTGAGAGGAGCTGTCGTGATGGAAAAGCTCAGGTGTTTTGCAGAGTATGGAATGAGAAATAGAATAGCAGTGACAGCAGTAAATAATTTAAAAACTGGTGGTGGCAATCCTGAAGTGTAATAATGATTACAGTTATAGGAAGGAGAAATCGTTCTTGAGAGTTACAAGGAGGATCTGAGGTTGAAATACTGCCTGTTTCTATTATCCGTGTGGTAGCTACATGGGTGCATTTACTTTCTGTAATTCTTATCAATGGTCTACTCCAGATGTAAGTTGTACATGAGTAAACAAGTTTTTAAAAAGGGTACAAGGAGACTTTCCTGATAGCGGAAAAGAAGCAAGCTGCAGCACCGGGTGTATATTACGCTAGACTTTGATTTGTGCTATCTGTCTCCTGTCTATCAGGCCATCCCTGACTGGCTGTTTCCCAAGCCCCGGGCCTTGACCCTCGGTTCTTCCTGTAATTCAGCTGTAGGATCTCATTTCTCATGTCTGTGCCCTTGGTTCCACCTCCAGGCTTAACTACTGTTTCTCTGCTGCCAGCATTCTGGGGGTAGTGCTTCTTGATTATATCCTGGTTGACAGAAAACCAGCATATCTAAAGCTTCAACTGCATTACTCTTTCTCCTGTCCAAATAAACTGCCATCCTAATCTTACTGTTTCCTTCAGTGGTTTCACTGATCGCCAACCTGGAAGTATTTGAGTTATTGTCGACTTACTCTTCCACTAGGTACTGAGTCTGTAACTAACTGTTGCTGATCATTTCTTTTCAGCATTTTAAAGTATTTTATTTCCTCTTACAAAGTGACTTTGGTAACATCTCATTTGAAAAACTGTAATAGGCTTGCCTAGTGTTCGTGTCTTTAGCACTTTACCTGCCAGTATCATGTTGCTAAAATTTCGTTAACAGAAAGGATTTTAAAATTAAATAGTGATGATAGTTGTACAGCTCGGACTATACTAAAAGCCAGTAATTCAGAAGCTTAAAAGTAAATTGTAAGGTGGAAGAATTGTTTCTTAATACCACTGTTATTAAAAACAACATCACTAAAAGCATGTTATGATTTCCTCTCAGATTAAATCTCAGTTTTGGTGTTTCATCCAAAGCCATCCGTTATATCCAGCTGCATCTACCTTATCCAGTCTTACCCAGACTAATAAGTAGTCTGACCTCCCTCATAAGAACATCTAGTAAATGCTGTGTATATAAGGCTAATAATCTTATGAGAATAATCAAAGTCAAGGAAGTTATCACTATTTTAAAATTAAGGAGACTTGAATGGAGACGGAATGTTCTGACTCACAATCGCTCTCTGCCTCTGCTAGTCTCTTTCCCATCTCTAGACACATTACCTTTATTTCATACACTTTTTTTCTTCCAAACCCATTCACATTCTCAGTATAAATCTTTCCCTTATTAACCCTTTCTACATCTCTTTTTACTTTGAATTTGAGAGGAGGTCAGTTATACATAGTTAAACTCGGAAAAGTTGGGACCTGTGTAAGGCAGAAACCTATCAAATGTTTTCCATTAAAACAAGCATTAGACAAGTGCTAAGACTTTTAAGTGCAGAACAGTCACAAGACCTGGGAAAGCAAGACAGTGTTGTCAAGTTCTCACACATTTCACTGTTAGAGAGCGTTGGGAGCAATATTTCCATTCCAGGCGATGATGAGGTGCTTGACTGCTAACCAAAAGGTACTGGTTCAAACCCACCACTCATGCTGTGGAAGAAAAGACCTGGTATTCTGCTTCTGTAACCCTTGCAGCCTAGGCCACAATGTGGGAGTGCGCCCCCGTCTTCTAGGGCTAGTAGAAGTCAGAGTCAACCCAGAGCAGACGGCAAGAGTGTAAGTTCTTCACTAGTGCCCTCTACCTTCCTTTTCCACTGTCTCACATCTGTTGCTGTAGCTACACATGGCTCAGAATTCATGATGAAAGGGTTTATTAAGGAAGGTAGCAAAGTGTAATGCCTTGAGAAATGTTCAGAGTTGAGTTGTTTATTAGGATAAGATACAAAGTTCTGTCAAGTCTACTAAGAAATGCCCAGAAGGGATATCATTCTGCTATTAATCTCAACATAAAGGCATTCAGCTTAAACTCCATGGGTCAGTAAACCCAGCTCCCTGATTTCAGCACTGAGAGATCACCCAAGCCAATAAGGCTCAGCCTAAATGCACTCAACTCCACTCCCATAACCCAGCAAGTCCAACTTCCTGAATTAAGTGGCCGGAGGCACTGCACTCCAGTAAGCCTCAGATGAGAGGCACCACCACTCCACAAGGAAGCCCCCTGCACCCGTCTTTTCTTGTTCGGTGGATTGGGAAGTCCCTTCCTCAGCCCCATGCTCTGTCTCCTGGTCCTGCTGCTGCTTCTCTGATAGTGTAGTTGTTGTCTGGATCCAGGAGGGTCACTGCAGAGGACATGCTCTGTTTCTGGCTTTTACTGGTAATGAGATTCCCTCCTCCTGCTTCTCAAAGGGCTCATTTTACCCACTGCAGGATTCCACTTGAGGGAACCTTGTTCGCAGTTACTCACTGGTGAATCCTGTCAGGGTCTTCCCTAACTTGTTACTAGGCCCGTGCAGATAAAGGTTGTTTCATGGGAGTTAGGGACTTCGGCTAAAAGAGCCACATGAAATAATTCACTGCCCATGCAGAGATATACTTGTATTTTTGCCATGCAATTTTTCTTTAATTGGTTGCATGTTTATCTTTAATCGCCTGTCAAGTTGGGAATACCAAACACACAGAGAATATACATCTACATACAAATTAAAAACAATATGTCAATGATGCAACAGTTAAAATCTTCTAATTGTTTGTGTAAGTGGTCCTGGTGAGTTGGGCTCCACGGTTGCTGACAGGGTGTTGCTAACTGATGTGTACACTCTACTCTCCCTGATCTACTGCTCCTCTGTAGTCTCAATAGCTGAGGCTACCTTTTTAAAGCACCTTTAATTAGCCCTTAAGAAGCTGGCCTAGTAACATACAGAGTATATACTGGAAGAGAGCCCAATAAGTGCTATTTTGTTTCAACACAAGAAACAGTAGGCCTCAATCGTGGCTTAGTGGGTTATGTATTAGGTTGTTAAACACAATGTCAGTGGTTTGAGACTGCCAGCAACTCTGGGGCAGAAAGATGAGGCTTTCTACTCTGGTAAGGATTTACCTTTTCAGAAACCCACCAGGGCAGCTTTACTCTGTGCTGTTAGGCCCACTGTGTGTCAGAATTGACTTGATGACAGTAGGCTGGTCTTGGTTTATAATTAGCCTTTTGCTAGATAATTGCTGGTCTGATAAAAAATCAAAAACAAAAACAAAATTCAAAACTCTGCCATCAAGTTATTCCAGACTCACACATAGCAACCTTAGAGGTTGCCTCTGTGAGTTTCTGAGTCTGTCGAGCTTCCCAAGTAGAACTCCTCGTCTCTCAGCCAGAGCAGTTGGTGGGTTTGAACTGTACCGTACACCTTGCAGTTTCTAATGCACAGCACACTATGCCACCTTCGATGCCTGGTATTTCTTGAGTTGAGACAAAATACCACTTAGCGGCCTGTCCTCTGATGCTCTTGTGTTAGTGGATGAATATCACACATGTTGTCTCTTCAAATAGTGAATGATTTCATATCTGAATATGTCGGTATAGACAGATGTCCTGTGTTTTAGATGAAAAATGTACCAGTGTTCATTGGTTCCTTTCAGAGAGTGTCTATGTCATTTGTGAATCATAATATATAAGTGAAAATAGAATAAAATATGCTTACTTTTTCATTACTGTCTTATAAGGCCCAGTTGGTGGATCTGAAATCTGAACTGACAGAGACCCAAGCAGAGAAAGTTGTCTTGGAGAAAGAAGTTCATGATCAGCTTCTGCAGCTGCACTCTGTTCAGCTTCAGCTTCATGCCAAAACTGGTCAAAGCACTGACTCTGGTACCATTAAGGCAAAATTGGTAAGTAGTATAGAGGGTGACATACACCTAGATGTACTTTAGAGGGCGTCTAGAACAAATCGTAAGGGCTTTTTTAATTGTTAGAGGTAATGGGTGCTGGTTGTGGAGAATGCAGAAAATACGGAAAAATGTAAAGCTTCTCTTCGTTGACCCTCCATACATTTACTCCCTAAGGAGACCACTGTTCATATCAGCAACTGACTGACGCATAGAATACCCCTTGTCCTCTTTGTAGGAATACAAGTATAAGCATGTTTTTCAAGTTAATGGTGATTATGATATGTAAACAGTTTTTTACCTGACTGTTGGGATTAAGTTCAGCTGCATAAAACAACTCCATAGACAGGTGAATAACTAGAGAATTAAAATCAACAATGAGGAGGATGTAGACATCCTGGGGGTGTTACAGCAACAGCAATCTAGCTGAGAGGAATTATGAAGAGGCAGAAGAGGGGCAAGTGTGATGGTGGGAAATGAGGAAGATAAAAGGAAACAGGAAAGATCTACGAAGCAAAGCTATGGATAGAGGTATAAGCATTGGTGTACACTTATTTAAATATATTAATTTTAAAAATAGAGGTATTGGCATAGGTGCCTATATTTATATGGCAATACATTAAGGAAGTGGATGGACTTTGGGCCTCTGCTTAAGCCCTTCCTCAACACAAGAACACTTTGTTCTAAACCTGGCATTCTGTGATGCTCACCCTCCCGGAATGATCACTGAAGACAAAATGGGTGCACAAGCAAATGTGGTAAAGAAAGCTGATGGTGCCCGGCTATCAAAAGATATAGCATTTGGGGTCTTAATGTCTTGAAGTTAAACAAGCGGCCACCTAGCAGAGAAGCAACAAGCCTACATGGAAGAAGCACATCAGCCTGTGCGATCATGAGGTGCCGATGGGATTGGGAGGCAGGCATCAGAAGACCTAAAACAAACAAAAAACCATATTGTTGAGAACAGGGGTGGGGGTGGGGGGCTGTCAGAGCAGAGACCCCAAACCCATCTGTAGACAATGGGACATACCCTCAGAAGGGTTGCAAGGAAGGGAGGAGTCAATCGGTGCAGTACAGCACTGATGAAACACACACTATTCCTCTGGTTCGTTGAGACCTCCTCACCCCCTACTATCATGATCCCAATCGTGCCTTTCACTGCGGGCTAGACCAGAGCATGTGCTAGGTACAGATAAGAGCTCACGACACATGCAATCCAGGTCAGATAAACTCCTTAGGAACAGAAATGGGAGTAGCAACCAGGTGGGTAGAGGGAAGGTGGGGAGGGGGCTGGGGAAGAAACTGCGGGGGTAGGGAGACAGCGGTCGGTGTAAGATATGACAATAATAATAATGTATAATTTATCAAGGGGTCATGAGGGTGGGAGGGTAAAAAGAGGAGCTGATACCAAGGGCTCAAATAGAGTATAAATGTTTAGAAAATAATGATGGTAACATGTACAAGTATGCTTGGTACAATTGATGTATGGGTTGTTGGAAGAGCTGTAAGAGCCCCCCAAAAAATGATCTTAAAAATTACCACAAAAAAAAATCAGCTGCATACCAAGTGACATTGACTAGCAGTTACTGTTATCTCAATGAAAGAAGTCCTGAAACAAGAAGAGAGGCTATGGTGACTCCACTGATACTAGGTGCCCAAGTTTCTTCTATCTTTGTGTTCCACCATCTTGGCCTTATGGTTTCTATCATGATTTTTCATGTCAACATTCCAGGCAGGAAAACTGAGGAATCTAGGTGATGACAAAAGGATGCTTCCCATATTAGTTAACCTTTTCTAAAAAACATTTAAAATGAAAACCCCCCTCAGCCATTTCTGTTGAAAATCCCATTAGTTATCCTGATCTGAATGGCGCATCTTTCTGAGCACATGGCTACCGCCAGTAAAATTGGAGCACTGCTAATAAAGTGGGGAAGTCGAGTTGGGAGCTAACCATCCTTTCATTTTCTCTTACAATGTATTGTGAGCATTTCCCCCGCCACTGAATGCAGTGTAGTATGTTTCATAGTGTAAATTTTCTGTAAACAGTTATCACCCTTTTAATAAAAGTTGTTTATGCGTAATTACACCTATTTGGGGATTTTATTGTTATTTCATCTCAATTTAGTTTCCTGTGTGCCAAGTTACTGAGTGAGTACTGAGCACTTTGCTCCCTACAGGAGACGTTGCGATGAATAAGACAGATAAGGGTCTGGCCTGCTCAGAGCCTGGGAGAAATGCCCGGGGAAAAGATGCTGATGACGGCAGAAATTCATACTAAAATCTTAATTCTACTTATTTTCAGTTCATTCTACAGGAATACTTTATTAGTTCTAATACTCATATGCATATGTTAGAATTCCTTTAAATGACCATTTACACCCTCCTAGAACTATATGCTAGGAGTATAATATTGTCACTATGATATAATGCAACATATTTGCAGTGAATGGTGAGTGTGGAGACCCGGGATTTTATATTTTACCTTTGGCAAAGCAGCCAAAATGTGAAGTGGATAATTAGCTTGATCTCTGGATATCAGTTTCCTCATGTGTAAATTGAAAGAATTGGGCTGGAAATCGCTCATGCCATCTACGATGTTAAAGACTGCTTAGATTTAAGTCTGGTGAGTCTGAGAAATGCTGTTTAAATAAATGTCAGTTGGTCAACTGCTCCTTTGGCTACTTGACCCCAGCATTGACAACTACATCTTCACTGGAAGAGAACTTATGTGAAATTTTAGCCTTAACTTTGGAACAGATTTGAAATAGGCCAGCACACTGAGCTGGATGTATTGACTACTCTTGATAAACTAAGACATTTTGATCAAATATAATAGTTCCTGGTGTTTATGGATTTTAAAAATTATATTTATTCTAGTGAACTTTACACCAAAATGATATTCGGTATCTGAAGATTTTCCTTGTAATGATTATATCCTTTGTTAAATTGACTTGTATGACACCTTTCTAATTATAAAACTTTTTTCTTATATCTTAAGTCTGTCTCCTCTGTGGAGGATCTGGTAAGTATGCCACTCCTGTTTTGCTTTAGTATGTTGTGCTAATGTCTTCGATATGCATATTATATGTTGTCACGCTCTGTTTGAAAATGGTGTTAATAGTGGCCTTTTTTTTAGTGTCCAACTACCTGAAGAGTTCAATGGGTGGCCCATTGCTTTCTTCTAATTGCATGGTTTAAAGAGTGTTCTTTTGTTTGTAATTTGAAGCCATTAATTGTAAAGCCCATCCTCTAACAGGGCAACTTCTGAACCTTGTAACTTCCTTACGAGCCTACTGCAGAAGAATAATTGGTGTTCCCATCTGCGTGTACTGAGATACTCCACAGACCTCGCTACCTCCACCCCTGAGTGTCTGTTTGAATGTATTCCAAGAGGGGGATGTGCATGTTCATTTTCTTATTTACTCACTGCATGCATTAAAAGTTTTTAGTAGCTTTGAGAATAATGTGTGATCTTTGAAATAACTGAATTTTAAAATCCTTTACAAGATTTTATTTTTAAAAACCCTTAGTATTTTTATCACTACCTCAATTTAATCAGGCTCTAAGTTATCTTTTCTTGTGGATGTTTACTGGCTGCCTATCTACATACACAGTGCAACCTCTTGGCTGTTACCCAACACAAAACAGGTGAAGATGAAAATGGTTAAGGAAATGATTAAATCCTATTCTTGTTAACCTCTGTTAATCTTAGGCAGAGAATTTATCCAACTTGTTAAGGGCTTGAATCAGTAAAATACAGTGGTAGCTTAATATGCTTCTCAGACTTTATAACAATAGCCATTTATAAACGACTCATTAAAGTAATTGAAAGTTGATCATCCTCAACATAAAATTTATCCCATGAACCAAAAAAATCTCATTTAGGAACTTTTTTTATAAATCAAACAGCATTAATCTCAACAAGTGCCATAAAGATTTTTGTTTGTGTTTTCTAAACTGTGTTTTCTCTGAAACTGAGATCTGCCCTTTTAGGAAGTAGGTCCTGAAATAAATTGAGATTTTTATAGTTCCAGACTTTTATAAGAAGATTATGAAATTCTTCAAATCCTTTAAAGCAATATTTGGAAAGTGGCCTTTTGGTTGGAGTTTTTACTGAAAAAAAAGCAAAACAAAAACAAATTCACTGCAATTTTCTCAGAGGTCAAAATGTCTGCTTAATCATCTTCCTGTTTGCCACGTGCATGAAACAAATTATATATATATATATGTGTGTGTGTATGTGTCAAAGTGGTAAACCTTGTATTTATTTGTGTATGGGTATGTTTAAGATCGTGGTATTAATTGTCTTGTATTTGAGTATATAGCAATGTTGGACAAAACCGTAGACCAAAGCAAGATGTTAAAGTAGTACTAAAATATATTCTATGAATTGCTGGAAATGTGCTTAAATTTCTTTTTCGCTTCTCACTATTTAAGTGTGCATAAGGTGGGGGGGAGCATTGTGGTGTTGTGAACAATGTCCTCCACATTTTGTCTGCATCTTTAATTATATTTAAACAGGGATTTTCATTCTGCATGTCAGTAGAAGTCATTCTACTCTAAATAAATGCAAGTTTGAGTGTTTGTTTTATTGATCCAACAATCATACCTGAAATATCTGTCAGGGCCTGATCTCTTGAATTCAGCTCTCAGGAGGGTTTTGTTGGCTACACAGTTTGTGTGTCTGTGTCAATTTGACTGCCTTTCAGCAATGTTTTGTACCTTTCATTTTCTACTCTACGTTGTCTTATACCACTCTATCTGTTCTGTGCTTGGATCCTGAATAGCACTTGATCTATAGGAAAAAAGCCACTATATACTTTTCAGGTCAATTGAACATTGTCGCTCACATGTAAATGATTGATAACAAGTTGATGGCAAAGACCTTCAGATCACATTCTCTGACTCACACCCACAAGACTCCCCATTAGTGGAGCATAGGCTGGAACCCTCCCAGGAACACTGAGAGCATGCCCGCCCTACCTCTTTGGAGGTGTGGGAGGCCACCCCACCTGAGACAGCAGTTCTGCCTCTGGATGAACTACATCCAAAAGTTTACTGATAGTCTATGCCATGTAGAGGTTTGTCTATAGAATATTTTCAGTATGTAAATATTTTAATGCACCTATTAACAGTATTTCTTCTGACCATAATGTTTCTCCAAAGAATGAGAAATGTGTTTTCTAACGTAAGCCTTAGAATTTTTTTTTGTAGCCCTCGAAGATAAATTAGCTGTAAAATTCATCTAACTGATTTTGACTTGTTTTATAAAATTCTTACATTAAGTCAATTAAATGTTTGGGTACAACCACCAACATGATTTTTATTTTATTGGTTATTTTGAGCCATTTAGAAAGTAAAATAAAGAACAGGCTTACTTATCCATGAAACCATTCCTCGTTATATTTCGATGACATCAGCTTAGAGAAGACTTTTTCTGTCTTTAGCATTAGGGTTCTCGAAGGCATCCAATTATTGAGAAGTGCTGTCCAGATATTGTGGTATTTGTTAAAAAGAGGGCGATCCAAAACTTCGTGTTCCATTTTAGATCAGTAAAGTGGCATTTTTTAAATCATGGGCTTTTACTGTCAGTATTACAAACTGTGTACCTTTGTATATTTTCAAGAATATGAATTACTGCTGAAGAATCTCACGAACATTTTCATTAAATTATATTTTCTTTAAAAATCACAATAGGAGAGAGAGCTTGAAGCAAACAAAAAAGAAAAAATGAAAGAAGCTCAACTTGAAGCTGAAGTGAAATTGTTGAGAAAAGAGAATGAAGCCCTTCGCAGACATATAGCTGTTCTCCAGGCTGAAGTTTATGGGGCTAGACTGGCCGCCAAATACTTAGATAAGGAGCTGGCAGGAAGGTGTGTAAAAAATGGATACCCTTATATTTCAGGGGACAAAATAGCGCCTATATTTTAATCTTTGGTGCTCAATTGAACATTAATCTCTGTCCTAAGAATTATTTTTTAAAATAATTTGTTATTTACTGTTGTTAATGTTGATGACATTCTATATTATGCATGCACACAAAGAAATGGTGGGGAGCCACATCTGACTACCTCTGCTTACACAAGGAAGGAGGATGCAACTCCATATCCGGTTGCCCCAGGCAGAGACCAGATACGCCTCCACCCTCCACCCTCTACCCTCCAGCCTCCTTTACCCTATTCTAACACCAACCATCCCTCCCACACGACTCTTTCTCTGCTGGGCTCAGTATTGTAAATGGGCTCACCGAACTCATAAAATACTCACCATTATGAGGTTTATTAATGAAGCTAACAAGTTGCAAAATATTAATGATGCAGTTCTTTTGTATGAACTTTTGTATGTGCCTCTTAACAGCCATGCTGGCAGGCATGTTGTCCTCAGCCATGTGGTCCATTTGCCTCTGCTGTGGGTCAGAAAGCCCACCCACCACTCTGCTTTAAAGTCTCTGGCTCCTCTGCTCTGTCCCATGGTCTAGGTGCTGCAACCTCTGTTCTCGCTGCTCTCTCTTCAGACAAGGTTCTCACATGCCCTCTCCTCCCGTAGTGGCTCTTTTTTCTTGATAGTCAGTCTTTTCTCTCTCTGCTTTGGAGATGGATCACTGTTACACTCAGGAATGCAAAACTAACCCATCCCCTCTGTCAGTGTTTCACACATCCCCTTCGCACGGCTCCACACAATTACTGAATGGGAGTTACAAAGACAGGTTAGAAGAACCATTCCGAGTACTCTACTTCACAAGTTTATAGAGCAGCATGCTTTCAGCCATTCTTTCTAAGAGACTAAAGCCTGACCTGTCTTGGCCTTCAAGGAAACATGTTGTTATGTTAATGACAGTAATTTCATCATACTAACACGCAGGTTCGGCTTCAATTTTTTAACTAAGCTTCAAAAATTCATAAGCTTTGGTGATTTATTACTAGTATTAAATTATTTTCTGCTTATTGCTTTAAAGTCACATTAGGAACTTATGTGGACCAAATAAAATGTATATAATCTTGAAGGCACATTTATGAATTGCTTTTTTAACCATATTTACAATAATCACTGGGTAAAAAGAAGCTGCCTCTAGAAGAAATGCTTTATATGTATAAAAGTAATCTCATCTAAAAGCTAATCTTTAATAATATCTGGCTGAGTACAATGACCTACCTTGATTATATACCAGAAACGAAACTCACAGTAATGGATAATAATATTACACATTTTTAGATGTATTTGAATTAAGTGTGACTAAGAAATTCTCAGAGCCCTGGTGGCATACTGGGTGATGCTTTGGGCTGCTAACCGTGAGGTCAGCAGTTCTAATCTGCCAGCTGTTCCACAGGATAAAGGAAAGGCAGCCTTGTAGAGTCAAAGGATAGTTCTCGACTCTGCCTTCCAGGAAACCCTATGATTTGGAATTGACCCCAATGACAGAGAGTTGAAAGGAAGGCTCATTTATTCCGTTTTTCTTTTCCTTGAAGACATATCCTCTTCGAAGTTTTCAAATCATTGTAAATCTGAGAGCCATCCGGAGGTTCCTGAGTATTAATTACTAATTAGGATTTATGTGAGATGTCCAGAAATTCATCTGAATTCCTTTTTTTGGTGAACATACTGGGAAACTAACTGACTTAACTTTTTCCCAATATGAAGGGTCCAGCAAATACAGTTACTAGGAAGAGATATGAAGGGACCTGCCCATGATAAGCTTTGGAACCAGTTAGAAGCTGAAATACATTTGCATCGTCACAAGACTGTCATCCGAGCGTGCCGAGGACGGAATGACCTGAAACGACCGATGCAAGCTCCGCCGGGCCATGTATGTTTTCCTGGACACCGCCTTCCATTCCCGTTCAACCTCTGCTCGCTAACCAGAATGCTGTTCTTTGTAAAATTAGTATTGTAATATTGAAACAAATACATATGTAAAATTGCATTAACCAAGAGAAACTTCAGGAGCTCTTTAGAGACTTACCAATGCTCCCAGAGTAGCAGTTCCTTGGATGGTGAGCCATACTAGCAAGCTTGCTGGTAGTCTTTGGCTCAAGACTGAGTATGCTTATATTTGTTTCAAGCTGAGCTTAGAGTGCGTGGCCATGTTGATTGATTGCGAAATGTTTGCAAGTGGTTCTTTAAAGGAATGTTGGCAACTAAGGGAGTCGTGATGGTGCAGTGATTAAACGCTTGGCTATTAACTGAAAGAGCAGGGTTTTCTTTTCTATCTTTGTAAATCTTTATACATTTCTATACAACTGCTTTATAATACAAACCTTAGTATAATGAAAGCAGGTCTATGTCTTACCTAATGGCTTTTATATCTTAGCACAGATGAAGTATAATTAGGGTGGAAGAAAGAATTTGAGGACAGCTTTGAAAGAATTAGAGTTCAAGAATCCCTGATGACTAACTGCTTTTGATGACATGAATGAGTGGTAAGGAAAAGCCTAGGTTATTGAATGAGATGGTAGCATTCACTTATATAGGAAATGCGGAAACACTTCTAAGGAAAACGTGATCGAGTTCAGTTGTAGACATGGGGTGCTGGAAGTGCCCATAGGTCGTAGCCCAAAGTATATCCAGTTGGACATAAGGTCCTTTGTTTTTGACCTGACTTAGAAGCTCAGGAGAGAAATCTGAATGGAAGAAATAAATGTTAAGGAAATGATCCATCTATTATCGAAATCATGGAATTATTAAAGGTCACCCAGTGAAAATAGATGAAAAGAAAAGAAGAGCAGACCAAGGCTGAAACCTTTATGGCGGGAAGGATGGAAAAGGACCACCAGAGCAAAGAGCCTCAGTAGAAGCTGTCAGATGGAGGCCGCCGAGCAGGGTGGTGTTTGGGAAAGGGTTTCAAGGTGGGCCGCTCAGTACTGTCAACTTCTGTTTGTAGGGCAGTGACTAAGGAAGTGTCCGTGGATGTTACGGTCTTGGTCAGCTAGTTGCCATGGAGAAGACAGTTTTCGTGGTGGTGAGGGCAGAATCCAAGCTACAGTCACGGTGTACGGGGACAGGGTGCACTTTGGGTGAGGGTTGCTAACAGTGAAGGAGGCCAGTAGCCAGAGGAGATCGCGGGTATTTGAAAGGAAGAGATTTGGATGTGCTTGTTTGTGCAGGGTCAATGTGTTACAACTGGAAGAGGCTTGAAATTTGCTTATATGCTGAATTAAAAAAGAAAACACTGCTGTCGAGTGGATGCCAACTCATATAGACCCTATTGAGCAAGGTAGACCTGTGTTTCCAAGATTGTAGCTCTTTATTGGAGGAGAAAGTCCCATCGCGCTCCTGGGGAGTCACTGGTGGTTTCGAACTGTAGACCTTGTGGATTGCAGCCCAAAGAGGAACCATTACACCATCAGGGCTCCTTAAATACTGATTAGGGAAGAAATTTTTTAAAGAAGCAAAACGTAAAGAAAGCAGAGAAAGAATTATTGGTGGAGCTAAACGGTGTATTTAAGAAGTTGCCTCTAGAGCAGTGGTGTTCCGCCTTCCTAAAGCCAGGACGCTATCAGACAGCTCCTCGTGTGTGGTGACCCCAACCATAACACTGTATTTGTTGCTACTTCACTGAAATGTTGCCACTGTTATGAATTGGGTGACCCCTGTGAAAGGGTCGTTTGACCCCCAAAGGGGTGCGACTCACAGGTTGAGAACCACTGCTCTAGAGCATTTAAGAGCGAAGAAATCATTTCTGTTCTATTTGGAAATTTATTTTCCATTTATTCAATTCAGTTCAAATGGTTGAAGATCTTTAAGATGTTTTTCAGTGAAGATAGTTACCTACTTTCTATTCTATTTATTCACCAATTTTTGCAATGATTTCTTTTAAAGTTCTGCACAATTTTAAAAGCAATTATTGACAAAAGAATAAATTTAAAAGAAATTATTGAGAAAATCATGCTTAGAGTTTACTATATTTACAGTCCCAGGAAAAGGAATTCATGCTTGGTGAGGTGGAGGGTCAGCCCCCCAGCGAGATGGATTGACAGAGTGGCTCCGATAGTGGGCTCGCACTGAGCCACAGTATGGACAGCGCCGGGCCTGCAACGTGGGCTCTGCTGTCCTGGGGTTGCATGCTCAGCACACAACGGCAGCATTTCTTGTCCCTTTTCTAGATACCAGTCTTTAGGTTTCTTAATTCGATCCTGTGAGTCCATCCAGAAAATTAATAAGTATTTCTAAAACCAAATAATATAGTGTGGTTTTACTCTATTTGGTAATATTCATTTTCTTCTTTTCCTCCCCACCTCCCCCAATAAGGATCAAGATTCTTTAAAGAAAAGCCAAGGTGTTGGTCCAATTAGAAAAGTTCTGCTCCTTAAGGAAGATCATGAAGGCCTTGGCATTTCAATTACAGTAAGAAACATTGTATCTGTCTCCTTGTTTATGGTGATCTAGAATAAGTGTGTGGTTTTGTTGGATATCATGGATATCATGGATATCATTTTCTTTAACATCCTCTGGTACCATCAATTATGTTTTATGTAAACATTTTTGCATGTAAACCTTTCTTTAAAACTACTAAATGAAACAATAGTAAGCATAATGTAGCATTTTCATTATGACATGGGTCATATTTTTATGCCAGATACTATGATGCCACCAGGAGCTGTTTGTTCTCGATTTAAAAAGCGCTAAGCTATGCTGCTCTATTCTCGAGAATATACCTGTCAGTCAGTCAGTTCTGAGTCATGGTTAAACTCTATAGCAGTGCTTCTCAACCTTCCTAATGCCCTGACCCTTTAATACAGTTCATGTTGTGGTGACCCCAACCATAAAATTATTTTCGTTGCTACTCCACAACAATAATTTTGCTACTGTTATGAATCAGGCGACCCTGTGAAAGGGTCGTTTGGCCCTCAAAGGGGTCACGGCCCCCAGGTTGAGGACTGCTGCTGTAGAGGGTTTCCAAGGCTGTGAATCTTCACAGGAGCCAACAGCCTCCTCTTTATCCAGGGCACGACCATGGGTGGGGGCCGCCGACCTTGCAGTTAGCAGCCTGGTGCGCACCCACAGCACCCCTGGCGCCCGCCCGGCATACTGTTAGAGGGGTGATAGCTTTTCCTCCTCTCATGTCTTTGCTATCACGTTTTACTAACTTTTGTTATCTATTATTCTTTTCATTTTAAAATTTTGATGTATTTACTATTATCTTAGATAATATACCTGACGGTAATCTATTATAAAGTTCATGTATTGGGTCACTTTCCCTGTTTCTGAAGTGCTTTGTTCCAGATGAACAAATAAGGCGGTTTGCTGTTGATGTGGAATGATGTAGCCACTGTGCACATTCATGTGTTTCTGGTATTGCTTACTGTAGAAATGCTTACAATTACAGAGCATTAATCCAGGATAGATATTCCATATCTGCCTTCTTAAATATACTACCCACGAAGAGGATACACTCCAGGAGAGCTCAGCTAGCCACATCCATTGCTAGATGAGTAACTACAGGAAACCTGTTGGGAGCTGGAACTGCTAAGACTACCTTGTTTTTCTTGATCTTGCAAACTTTACACCGGAGACAGGATGCAACTTCCACTTTCTCTAGCAGTGGAAAATATTTGAGTTTTCCTTCTCTGGCAGGTGTCTCAGGTTCTACTCTATAACGCAACCTAGACGGTGCTAAGTACCAAAGACTGTGATTCTTCAATTCTGTGTTTCACTGCCTTTTTACTTTCTTCTTCACATTTGGACATCTCTGAAATTGAGGGTGCATCTTACTGTCAGTTGATTGCTTTTATGGCACGAAAAATAATGATGTCTCTCACCACATGATGCTGATTTCAGTTTGATCAATTATGGTAGTACTGTGGACTACAAAGACAGATCATCGTTTTCAGTAAAAGACGTCAGCCAATTACAGCTTAAATTTTTTGTTTGTCTTGTGTGGGGGTTTTGTTGTGCTGTGTTTCTGGTGGATTTGGAATATGTTTTAGAAGAGCACATGTAATTATTCATTTTACTCAGAGGTAACATTGTGATACTTAAAATAACTTATTTACCTTTACTTAGTAGCAAATAAGATGCCACCCAATATTTATAGAGACAGTATAGGTGCTTATTGAAAGATGCTTCTTGAAAGGTAATTGTATCTATTTTTAACTGTTGCTTGTATATTAAACTAGCCTGTGACCTGTCAAAGGGTAAATCAATGCGATGCTGGTTGTCTGTTTTGGTAGGGTGGGAAAGAGCATGGCGTTCCGATCCTCATCTCTGAGATCCACCCAGGGCAGCCTGCTGATAGGTGTGGAGGGCTACATGTTGGGGATGCGATTCTGGCAGTCAACGGGGTTAACCTCAGAGATACAAAGCATAAAGAAGCTGTAACCATTCTTTCCCAGCAGGTAAGTTCCCATTATGTAATTAAAATTGTGTTGATCAGTTGGTTCTTTGTGAAGCTAGTGAATACTTTTTATATTTCTAGAAAGTTTCTCAAATAGCAAAGTATTTATTTATAAATATGGTGGATAATTCTGTTCGATTTGGAACATTTAGAAAGATATTCAGTCAAATTTACCAAAACAGATTTGGTTTGCTTCTTTCCATAGCTATATAACATCCAGCCAGTTACCCAGCTCCCCTGTGCAGCTGGGATTCAAAGAGAGTTGCAAGGACTATGGTAAGACTAGGACCTTGTACTTAGAAATTTAAAAAATCATTAATGAATAAAACACTACACCAATACATGAAGGTAAGTTAGAAAATATTGCTGTTCCCATTCCAGTGCACACATACGTGGGCTTATTCCCAACAAGACATGTTCAAACATGCTTCTGTCACCAGTGGAAGGCTGCAGACTAGTTCTCTCAGTATTACACTTATCATTGTCTTATTAGGATGCTTTCAGAACAGTGTCGTTCCAATGGATCTACTGGGCCAGTTGAAGTCAAAGCAAAGGGAAGGTTATGATAACTGTGTTTTGGGATCCCCAAGGGGGTTAATCTTGATAGATTTTTTTTCTCTAAGGACACAGGACTATTTAAGAAACACTCTAAGGGAAGTGAAACCAGCTTTGGTGAGAAAAGGGCCAGGAACGAGCAGTGGCCTGAGGGCCAAATGTGAATTCTTCTATAGAGAAGTTTACCAGAACCCTGTTACATGTTGGGCTGCTAACCAAGTGCAAGGTCAGCAGTTTAAAGCCATCAGGTCCTCCACAGGAAAAAGATGAGACTCTTCATGTAAACAGGTGATGTCTTGGAAGTCCACAGCGGCATTTCTATCCTGTCCTATTAAGTTGCTGTGAGTCAGAGCAACTCAATGGCAGTGGTTTTTTTTTTTTGGGGGGGGTGTGGTTTATATAGAAAATCTATCATATTGGAAAAGTTATTGAGATTCATTCAAGTTTCTCAGTCTTGTAAAAGAGACTACAGTATGATTATTTTGAGGATTGAAGGGTATAATTTTATTCAATAAATAATTGCTATTATTACCCGACAAAATGTTTCGATTAGTGTGATGTGTGATATTTAGTGAACATTAACAAAAGCTTCAAGAGCTTTTCAGTAAGAAACAAGAAATCATTGTGTAGGAGTTTCTTGATGTGGTTAAATAAAAAGTCACCTGATACTCACAGGTTTATCCTTTCTGTGTAAGTGACCAGGTGGTTTTGCTGAGTTGTGGTAGAAAATGGCACAATGGCTTTTCACCTGACCACTTGTTCTAAAATACTATAATTATTGGGCTTCCTTTTAAGATCTAGCAGTAAGAATATCAGTAGGAAAAAGCTCCTGTGATGTTAAAGGGTTGTTATTTATAGAGAATTCACAGGGTTGGTATGTTAGTCCAGGTAGAATAGAGAAACAAATCCAGGGATACTCATATATATATACACAAGAACAATTGAATATTGAGAAAATGTCCCAGCCCAGTCCAGATCAAGTCAATAAGTCCTATATTAGCCCATATGTCTGCTACCAATCTGTAAAGTCCTCTTCAAACTCACAAAACACATGAATTGGCGCTGAATGCAGGAAGATCTCAGGCCAGTGGGTGGGAAGTCTTGTGGATCCAGTGGCAGTATAAGCATATCAGTGCTGGCAGGAGTTTCTACGTGGTTCCCCCAGCTCAAAGCACTAGTGTAGCTCCATGTGACATGTCAGCTGGAATGTCTCCCAGGGAGTGAGCGTGTATCCCGCCTCCAGCGAGCTGTTTATCTCCTCAGTGCCTCCAAATGAGGTCATCAAGCTGCTACCTGATTGACAGGCTAAATTGCACCCCTTCACTCTTAAGTCTCAAATTGACAATAGATTATGTAACTACCACAGACCACCCCTTGTCAATTTGACACTTTCACACAACTCTTTAGCCATATTTAATTTTCAAACAAACAATAATAAAATCATACCTGTACCTAACAGGATAAAATTAAAATGTATACAATTCGATATGTGCCACACTCATTTAAACATAACATTCTCTAAGTGAACAAGACACTATCATTTGCCTAATAAGTGCAGTTATGTAACACCTGCACCTTAATCCTATAATCCTATGAATATATTCCAGCACCTATGAAATTTTGTTAGCCAACCACTGTATGCCTTATCCTCTGCATTTTGGGTACCTAATTTCTATACTGCCCACTTACATCAACCCAGTGCTCAGGACAGGCCATCCATAAAGTCAGCAGCAATATGCACCATTTCACAGGCTCAAAAATCTTCTCTTCTTCTGGTTGGGTTCTGGGCAACTCAATGTGGGCTGCCTCACTGAGCCTCACCAGGGTGCCCATTGGTCACCTTGCCTTTAGACCATGGGCACTGTGACAAATTCTCAACAACTCTAGCCCCATTGGGCTAGGTCATGAACTTCAGACCAGTTAACCCACTTTCATCTTCTCCTCTAGTTCCTGTGAACCAGGTCATGGGTGTCAGTGGCCAGACTCAACCTGTCTCTTTATTACTGTATTTCTCTCACTTCCACTCAACAAGTAGGTACAGGTGGTCATCTAGCAAGCATTTTAGCTTGCCCATGGGCTCCCTTTAACAGTTCAGTCCTAGAACAGAGACTTCTTTATGGCTCCAGATTTTTTCCAGCTTCTGACAAAAACCACTAGTTCAGGATTCAGTAAGCCAAAGAGTTGCTTTTTCTTTAATCTGTCAAAAGCCCCTTAGGCAAGTCTCTTGGAATGCAAATGTCCTGAGTACTCCAAAACACTGGGTGAGGCTTATCTTTTCAGGGCCTTCTTTTCAGGTGTGTCCTAAACTCTTTTAAAGATCAAATTTTAATGGCTAAAGGCAAGTGGGCTTATAAGCTATTTTCATACTTTCCAATAATCATTTCTACCAATCATTATATCAATTATAATAAGCAGAAGAAATCAGTATAAACAAAGTAGAATCAAATCCTAAACTCAGTTCTTAAAACAGTCAAGTTCAATCATTATCTAAACTATTCTATTGATACAAAATATGGGATTAGGCATCTGATAGCATCAAGCCAGAGCCAGGCTTTCTGTCAGCCATTTTGACCTTCCGTCAGCCATTTTCACTAACCCACTCTGAGAAATTCAAATGACAATTTTGTCCCTTAAGCTCAAAACATACATTAATGATATTCATTTTCATCATTTCAAACAGGAATAACTAAAGACAACAGTTAAGGAAAAGAATCAAAACTTTAACTTACCATATTTTTTCCAGAAAACAACCCAGTAAAATACATAGTGATATCTGACCTCTGGCTAGCCACAGGGGTGGGGGGGGTGGTGGTGGTGGTGGTGGTGGTACAAAACACCAGGAGGCAGGGGTCAAACACACATCCACTCTCCATTTTTATGATTTGTTTCTCTAGTACCCCATTCTTGGTACCATAATGTGTTAGTCTATTCTGGGTGGACTAGAGAAACAAAATTCATGTACACTCATGTGTATAAGACAGAGCTTTATATACAAGAGCAGTTGAAGATTGAGAAAACATTCCAGCCCAGTCCAGATCAAGTCCATAAATCCAATATTAGCCCATATGTCCAATACCACTAAACACATGAAATAATGCCAAATGCAGGAAGACCACTGGCCAGTGGGCGGGCAGTCTCTTAAGCATATCAGCGCTGGCAGGGGTCTGTACATGGTTTCTCCAGGTGAAGGCACTCGTGTAGCTCCAGGTGTCTTGTCAGCTGGAATGTCTCCCAGGGAGGGAGTGTGTGTCCTGCCTCTCGTGAGCTATTTATCTCCTCAGTGCCTCCAAAAGAGGTCATCAAGCTGTGACCTGATGGACAGGCTAAACTCCACCCCTTCACGCAAGTTGACAATAGAGGATACTGTTGGTCTAGTCTTAATGGCCTGTTCCTTCATGAGATTCGAGAGTGTTCTGTTGTTTGCTGGCATGAAAGGAGCTGCACCTGAGGTTCATTTCTTTTCTCTCCACCCCAAAGAAGTTGGAGATTCTTTTAAAATTACAGTCACGTGACTTCCTTGTTTTCAAACCCCACCCCCAGAGAGGAGAGATTGAATTTGAAGTCGTTTATGTGGCTCCTGAGGTAGATTCTGATGATGAAAATGTGGAGTACGAAGATGAAAGTGGACATCGTTACCGCTTATACCTGGATGAGTTAGAGGGAGGTGGCAATCCTGGTGCTGGTTGCAAAGACCCAAGTGGGGAACTCAGAGTGTTACAAGGTAAAAAGGATCTCTCTACCATTTGTTACGAGTGCATTCATTATTAATAAATATTTAGATGTAAAACTGTCGCATGTACTCCAGTAACTGCTGTCTTAATGATCAGAAAGCCAAAGGAATGAGTAGCCTTTCACTTGCTAATATTCTTATTGTATTAACAGTAACTATGCACAAATTACATTTGCTTATAAATCTTTCTAGATTCATTCTGGACTGTTAAGAAAAACAAATTACTTGGTACTAGATGACAAGTTGTCCTTGAAGAATAATTCAAGTGTTTTTAGACTTTAAAACAGAGATCAGGGTGCCTTTTAGAGTAAATGTACCTTAATGGGGTCACTCTGTCTTAATGTCAGTTCTTCTCTCATGGTGCACTATTACATGCTAAGCACAAATTATGAGAACTGGTTACTTTTTACTAAAATGTCTTAGTTTTGTTCATATTTATTGAGTTTATTGTTATTTTATAGCAAAGTTGTATTTTGAAAAGATCTCAATTTTAATTGCTAATAGGGTAATGAGAGCTCACATCAACAAGCTCTTTGGCATTTTCAATACTTATTAAAGAATGTAAAGGCATCCTGACACCAAACATCTTGAGCACTTCAGACTAGTTTGATGGTGAATGACGACATGCTGCTGCCCTTTTGGTACAAGTCTGCACTGTGAACACGCTTCACAGAGACAGGAGTAGCGATGTTGCTAACTCTGGGCATCTGTGTGTTACAGCATTACATTGTTGGACTCTATGGCTTCATTTCCTTTTGCCCTTTCTACTACTTTCTGTCAGGATTAAAAGGCTTACCCCTTCCTTTATTTGCAACTGAGGCTAGAAGCTTTTCTCTGTCACCTCTACAAATTTACAGACAATTGAAAGCGAGTCAGATTACCAGCAGTGATATATGTACTGGATTGATTGCATATAATACACCCACTGCCTCTTAGCACACCTTCTTACCTCCCTAAACAGCGGATGTCGTCAGTCTTATCTCATTTGCCAAATGTCCTGTATGGTGGCCTCACATGCCTGCAATGTTAGAATGGTGCGGAACTGTTAGACATGGGTCGCTGTGATCAGAGCCATAAACAGATTTTCCAAATCCTACTTGTTTTAGCTAGATGTTGTCTTGCTAGCAAACTAGATTTTTAGTGACCATCCAGTATGTACCCCAGTGAACTGAAGTGAAATAGATCTGAATGCAATTATGTGAAAGAAAAGACACAATTCACATTTCAAAAAAAATTTGTATAAGCAGAATTAATAAATTTTACAGTGGTGTGTTTATTAATTCTAAGTCTGGCAGAGTACATGTAGCCAGAGCAATTTCTCCAATTTTTAGGTGAGTACTATATATATATATATATATATAAATGTATATATATTTTAAGTACACAATGTGTGATTGCTGATAGAAGAAGGAAGAATACTCTTGTCAGAAATTGCCACCCTGACGAGACTAGGCTTTATTACTCCTTGTATGAACATTATTAATTACTGTGGTCATGCCTTTGTTTCTTTAGAAATAACATTGTATGATGACGTCTTTTCTTTCCTTTTTTTAAATTTATTAGAAAGTAGCCACTTTGATGTCTTTGTCTTTCAGGCTTTAACAAGAAGGCCGTGACCGATGCACATGCAAACGGAGACCGGGGAGCATCCAGCGAAGGCCCCCTGGATGACAGTGATGCTAAGCTGGAGGATCTGCACAGCCTGTATCATAAGAATTCTCACTGACACCACTGCTTCCAGACAGATTGTACTCAGACGATGCTGAATGGGGACACTAGGGAAGATGGTGACAAAGACTAGACCAGATCAGGGGAGGCTATCGGTTGCCTAAAAGAAAGATATGGTACCTCAGGGTTTCATGTGAATAATTACTTCTAAAAGCATAACAACTCCATCTGCCCTGGGGTTTACCATAATTAGCGATTGCATGTAAAGCAATTTTGATTTTCTTAAAATTGTAAGCACCAAAGCATGTGTTCCCCAAAGTGTATCACTAGATTCTTAAGTACCAAACGAAGCACCGCAATCTTATTTGGTTCCTTTTTTATTGAACAAAAGGACAATGTAAACTGTAATTTCATAAGAAACAGCCCTAATTACAAGAGAGTGAGTTCATATGATATATTCCAGAATATTAAATGTGACATCTTTTAAGGGCAGAAATTGAGTCAATAGATTATAGAAGTGTAGGTTTGACTTAATTTTTTTTAGCTAGTTTTTTTTAATTTACTCTGCATTCTGATACTTTAATCATTTATTATAATGAATTTTCCTTGTTTTACTCATTGCAGTACAAATGGTTTTCTTTAAGCAATCCTGTATCAATCAGTGCTGCACGAGATATAGTTTCTGAAAAGTTCTTACATATTTTACTTTTAGTTTTTAGAAGGAATTCAGGCGAGTGTGAAATATCTATTCCCAATTATGTTGATCTGTGTACATGGTACTGGAACATTACACTATTAATATTTAGTCTCTGATGCTTATTTTCTGAGTCCCCTGAAAGGAAGTTTTGTACCTTCTGAGTTGTTCCTATAAAGTGGAAGCTCAAATTTCTCACTATGCCACAAAAGACGTTGTATTCAAACAGCATGTTCTCTTACAGTAACTGATTTGCCGTTACCTCAAAAGCTGTGAGCAGAGGTGAGCAAGCTTCGCCGAGGGAGGTGCGGTGCAGTCGTTGTTTGGGCTGGCGTTTCACTTCAGCGTGTGTTTGACTAAAGCCCTCTTCATAAGCAAACCACGGGTTTGGTAGTTCTCTTATCCCAGGCTTCAGCCTGCTCCCTGATTTACTCATCTGCAGGCCACTGGACCTTGATGGGCAAAGTCAAAATGCTGCATTTAAAAAGGTGATAGTCTTGCCAGTATCACTGTCTTAAAGAATATACATTTTCAAGAATATTAAGTGGGGAAAAGCTGAAAAAGGTTTTTTAGAATATTATCAGTATCTTCCATTTCTAGTATTCAGATGTCATGTGATAAAGAACACACTTTCTGGTCTCACCCATGATGCACTATACATTAGTTCATAGGCAACTTATGACATGTATATACTTTATTTGGTGATTTAGCTATTTATACATTTTATGTTTGAACAATTTCTCATTTCTGGTTTGTTTTGTTCTTCTGTTAATTTGTAAGAGAAGTACACATCACAGTGTATGTTGTTACTGATATTACAATACTTTGTAGCATAATGCTGCCTCTAAGCAAGTTAGTATTTAATTGTACAACTAAGTAAGCAAGTTACATGTTATTGTTGTCTCTCACAGGCCAGACCTCTTCCCAGGAAAGAAATTGTTTGTCCCCATGCATTCACCTTGCCCTACACTGCCATGTGTGGCATGAGGACTTCCACCTGGCTGTTAGCTAATGAATCAATGCCCCTGCTGGCAGATCTGAACAGCTTTTTTTTTTTTAAACCCAGCCTGGAATGGGATAACCCCATTTTCTTTCCCTCAAAGAACATTCTTTATCAACTATGATTTGGGACATGCAAGCTACAACCATTTGATTTTCAAAAGCCATCTCATGGTTCTTTAAAGAGTTATTTTGGAGCGTTGGGTTGTCGTGTTTGTGAGGGTAATTGTAATTGGAAAGACTGTATGGAATGCGTATGAGATAGACTTCTTGAAGGGGCTGACATGGAGGCTGAGCAGTTCTCGAAGGCACTGAGCATTCAGAGGCCAGACCCTTTTCAGCCCGTATCTCCTCGGTTTCCCAGCGTGTGTTAGAGTACTTGCTCAGATGCTACTGTGAAATTCCTGCCAGATGCTTTAGGAAGAACCTACCTGAAGGCTTGTTTGAGAATATATGGTCTTTCAGGGATGAACTGAGAATTATAGACTTCTTTCCTAACGACTGACCGAGAGCAGTTTTTATATTTCACATGAATAAGAGAAACAAACAAACTCGAATGTAACACTCAGGCTTCTAGAACAAAACCAAATCGATAAGGAGGACCCGAGACGGGCGGGAAAAAATGCACACGTGCACACCAAACAGAATAACCGAACATTCTCAACAGGATGTGTGGGTTGTACACAGGAGTGCATATGTTTACACTTTGACCTCTACAGTTCTCTTCTGCCTAACCTGTTTATGATTTGATGCAAAAACAATGGGTGATGTGAACATTGTTGAAAGAGATTTAAGAAAGCTGAAGCTTTTCTGAGTCTTGGTTAATTATAACAACTCTTGTCCAAAGTTGTCACAGCTTGTCCTTGGTGCTGGATTTTTTTCCCACCACGCGAGACTTTTTTGTTTTTGTTCTTATTTTTCTATTTAGAAACAAAAGCTTTTTTGATTCATGTGTATGTTGAATGTTATTTGACATCCTTATTTTATTATGTAATCGAATATTCCAAATAGCTAGTCTTCCACTTAGGGTAAGCCTCAAATCTATAGGACTTATGACAATTGTATACCTACCTAGGTTGAGTTTAATATTTTTTTATTGGCCTGTAAATAGGGATGACACCTTCTATAATAAAATGATATTGAAATCATTTAAAAAATAAACATTTTATGTTTCTTTCACAATTCAATATTTTGGTTTATTATTTCAAACAACTTATAGTATTTATACTAACACATCACAACATCTTGGCAAAGTTTGAACTCGATGACTATGGTGGAGTTAAATGAAGAAATTCTCACGTATCCTTCACTATTTATAAATTTTATGTTTAAATTATTGCTCATTTATGGTATGGACTTCAGAAAATTGAGGGGGAGGCGAGTAGAATTTTAAAATAATGCAACTTTTCCATAACTTTTTGAAGCCCCTGTGTATGTATTTAGGGCTAAGTTAAAAACTGTTTCTATAAACATGCAGAAACCTTTGGTAAACATTTCAGAACCTGAAGCTACTGTTAAGTCTCTATGAATGCTTCATGGAGTCAGTACACTAGCCAAACAATATCTCTCTAGGGCCCAGTGCTTCTCAACCTTCCTCATGCCACGACCCTTTCGTACAGCTCCTCATGTGGTGGTGACCCCCCAACCATAAAATTATTTTCGTTGCTACTTCATAACTGTATTTTGCTACTGTTATGAACTGGGCGACCCCTGTGAAAGGGTCGTTCGACCCCCAAGGGGTCGTGACCCCCAGGTTGAGAACTGCGGCTCTAGGCCCTCCTGGAAGAGTTCTGCACACCTTGATTTACACCGTATCCAAGTGGCAGTTGGTCTCCTGGGGAACCCAAATTGTGATCCTCTTCGGTATTCTTTGAAGATGAGGGGCAAAGAAGAAGTCTGAAGGGGCAAGATCAAGGCTTCAGGGTGGACCGAGCAAGGTTGCTCAACGGAATTCTTGTAGAGCAGGCTCCTCACCCTGCAAGAAGGAACAAGTATGTTGTTTTGATGAAAAAACTGCTGGGCACAACTTTACCAACCTTTTTCTCTCTAACACCCTTGTCTGTTTTCTTTAAGCTTTTCCACAGATTGTCCTGTATCCTTTTGAAAAAAACAAACAAAAAAACCCAACGTCACCCCAAACAGCCTCTACCGTGAATTACCTGGCCCGCTAGATTCCCTCAGCAGCCAGGACTGGGCATTTGATTGTTTTTTCTTTTTAAAGGTACCCTAGTCCTGATATCATCATGGGTTAGGCGTCAGTCTGCTATTGGCGAGGTTAGCAGTTCAAATGTGCCTGCTACTCCATGGGAGCAAGGTGAGGCAGGTTGCTCTCATAAAGATTCCCAGTTTCGGGACCCTCACTAGTGTCAGTGTGAGGCAGAATGGACTCTACAGATGAGGGTTTGGTTGGGGTGAAATGACATGAAAGTGTGTTACCGAGAGAAGTGTCTTGTCCCAGGAACTAAAGTTCCCAGAATCCCTGGCTACCCCATGGAAGTTCTTAGAATCTTGTGCGCATGAGGGAGTACCTTTTCAAAAGTTGGATGCGCCTGCTGCAGACCAGAAAACCCAAGTCTAGCCGTGCTGGCTAGGTGAAGTTTGCTTCCTCCTAGAGCTTCTAATCCCATTATCTTGGGTTGCCCTGTATGTTCAAAAGAAATCGCTTGATAGGACAGGAACCTAATTCCAGTAACAGTAGCAATGCCTTGTGACTACCCTTCCTGTGTATGCAGATAGCTAGGTCTGTGTAGGAATCGACAGTTTACATTAGGAACTGCTCAGTCGGTGTGAATGAACTAAGAAACAATGGGTTGGTGGCACGAAACAGCAGGGGAGCAATTTACTGTTGAAATCGCAGATGGAAAATGCCCTAGTCCTCTTGGCTCTGGATTGTGGTATATAGACAACCAGATGTCTGTAAGGGAAGACAACCTTCATAAATAGGAAATCAGTGCTAGCATTGTCCAAGGCGTGGGTCGGTATGGGAGAGTCTTCTTCCATGTTATGCATAGGCTTGCATACTTTTCAAAATATACATGCTGAAAGTATTTTTAGGAATACTTGTTCGGCGCATTTTGAGGTTTCCTTGGCCTCCAAAGTTTTCCCTGGGGTCCTATCCAATTGTTCACCTAAGAACATGTGGGGATGCCTTAGTTCTAGGGGTATTTGACAGTAATCAGGAAGGTCAAGTTACAAGGTTTATTCTAAAAGTAACTACAGCATATTAGACTCAAGTTATGAACATTAGGAAATACTTTCATTTTTGACCCTGAATAATCTTGCTTAAGTGCTAATATTTAGATACTTTGTGTGTGTTGCTTTAAACCTCTTATTCACCAAGTCATTTGGGTGGGGAAAAAAATTCCTTTTCCCAGAATTCATCTGCATGGAATACGTTGAATTTATGAAATTAAAAAAATGAATTGCATGTTATCTATTTTGTTTTAGAGAGTTTTGTAATGATAACGCAGGCTTTCCTGTGTGCTGTTGGGACTACGTGGTAATAGAGTAATCATTTCCGGGTGTAATTTGAGAGCCATCACCACTGCTGTGGCAGCCATGAGAATGGGACTCTCGGATCGCCTATGGCAGGGGCAGCATTGTCTGGAGGTCCCAGCAGCTGTGCCTGGACCCCTTCCCTACTTTCATGGTGAAGCTATACTTCCCTCCGACTGTTCTCAGCCAATGATTGGTCAGAACAAGGGTGTGAGTTTTTGACGGACTTGCCAAATGTGGTCCTTAGGACCACATTATAATCTCAACTGCTTCCACTCCGCCCCTCCCTTCCTTTTGCAGACTTGCATTGCATTGTAGTCTGATTGCCTCCTGCTGCCCACCACCCTGCCTCCTTCCCCACCCCCTTGCCAGCATTACCCTTCATAAAGGTGTAGCACCATTAATCCCATCGTGGTCCTGGAGTGGGCTTCTTGGAGGACCTGGACGGGCACAAATGGACCAGGAGTGAGATACGAAGAAGCAAGTTGTAGAAAGAAGACTGAGAACTGGCTCATCTGACCCCCAGAGTGCAGAGCAAAACTGCCAGCTTGCTAAGGGATGGACATGGGGCGGGGGTGGGGTTTAAAAGTTCACAGAAAACTGGAATGGAAGGAAATGGAATTTTTCCATGAACTTGTTGAAGCTCCCTCAGCTGGCCCATAGCTCTAGCCCATTTGCTAAATTCCACCGGTGGTGAATTGTCCTCCTTACAATAGGTGCTGGAAACCCTGAATCTCTATACCTATGGACATAACTCCATTTGGGAATAGGACTTGTACTTCTGACCTGTCCGTGCAGGGGACACCTGTCACCTGTGAGATTCAAAAGAACAAATTAGGTGCCAAGAAGTAAGTCCAGTAGAGAGTAAGCTACACGCCACCTGAAGATGGCCCAGGAAGCCGATGCACAAACTGAACAGAAGCTGGGGCTTCCTCCAGAGCCCACCCAGCCTTCTCCAAGGGTCAGGGTTCTGGGTGTGGATTCCCAGCCTCCAGCAAGGGGAGAGAGAAATGGTTGTTTTTTGAAAGGTCTGTGCTTGTGTAATTTCTGTGACCGCAGCCTGACCAGTTGTCCTCAGAAAGGCCTGCCTGCATGGTTGGCCCCTGGCTGGCTATGGGAACTGTCTTTCCTCTACTCTTGAAATGGCAAGGCTTGTTCATTGCACCCGAAGTGTTTGTACGGACAATAGGGTTTATGCCAAAGACCTGCTTACTTTGGGGAGGGATGGTGGTGGAATTTGGGGACGTACTAGGCAAAGGGAGAGCCAGGGTGGCCTGTCAGGTTGAACTGTCTAACCACAAGGTTCAAACCCACCAACTGCTCTGAGGGGGAAAGATCTCTGCCCTGTAAAGATTCACAGCCTTAGAAACCCTCTACGAACAGGGACAGACTTGACAGCAGTGGGCTTAGGGCAAAGGGTGCATGCATAACTGACTCCTGATAAAAAATAAAAAAAAATCTGCCCTCCTCGGTTCATGTAAGAGTCCCGCACACAACAGTGTGTGTCATTCTGCATTGCAGCAGGAGGAAGGCAGCAGCATGTCCTGGGTGGCTCCCCTGGGTGAGAACTTGGGGCTGGCATCTACCCAGGAGAGGACTGGGCTGGCATCTGGTTTCTAAAGGACTTTGCTCGTCTGCCTTTTCCCTTTTCTGAGCTTTCCTGTGTCCTCCTAGCTGTGAGGATAGCTCTATGCTTAATCTTATGAGTACCCGGTGAAATCAATAAACCTAGTTTCCCAGGGGAAAATAGCACCCTGGAGCAAATCTTCTAGAAGGTAGAATTACTCAGGCATTTAAAAAATAAATAGGGGAGGTGATGCCTGTAAGGAGCAGTAGAGCTAGCTGGTTACCACTCGGTCATATGAATGCAAATGGATAAGGAGAGGCTATGGGCTGTTATCAAGCTGTTTCTATTTGAAGCTGAGAAGCTCTGGCATGAGCTTACCTCCTCCAGTAGACGATTGAAACAGCAGAGCTCCGGTTGAAGGTCCAACTGTTAGAGTTTCAGAGCTTCGGAGACTTTTATCCATTTTGTGAAAGTGAAGGTCCTGATGGGGAAAACATGAACCCTTGAAACATAGTCACATAGGACACGTAGTCACATAGCACACATATGCCCCTGAGAAAGTTATCTTTGCTGACCCTACTGGAGCCCCTGATCTTAGAGAAGTTACCCACCCTTGCCTATGAAGATCCGGCCCTACTGCTGAGCTGGACGCGGCAGCAGGACCCCTTGGCTGCCAGGCCTGTGTTGGTAGTTGCTGCCGAGTGGATTACAACTCATGGCATCCCCATGTGTGCGGAGAACTGTCCTATAGGATTTTCAAGACTGACTTTTCGGAAGATCACCAGGCCTGTCTTTCACCGTTTTTGTTTTTATTTCTATGACAACAGCATTAAGAAATAAGCGTACCTTGACCTGTTATCTTGAAAGGTCTATTTGTCAGGTTGCCCTGGGCTGGCATCTGCAGACTTGCCTGGATGGGTCCCCAACACCCACCTTTTGGCTAGTCATTGTATGCTTAACCATTTATACCACACAGGGAGTCCTGTTAGGTCTATTTAAAAACAACAAACAATCAAACCTGTTGCTACCACTGTGTCATTTCAAGCCCTTAACAAACTTAGGATGGAGTAGAACTCCTCCCTCAGGATTTCCAAGGCTATACACCTTGATGGAAGCAAATGGCCA